GTTTTTCTTCTGCCAGTGTGTTAATTTTTAATTCTGGTTTTATTTGCAGGCTCACTTTGAAGAGAACAACTATGAGCAACATCGTGCGGATGGCTGGAAGAAGTTGAAACGAAATGCCGTCCCAACTTTGTTCACATTCAAACGTAAGATTGAACTTTTTTCTTGCATTACATAAAGCAGCACCAGTTGCAAGTACTCTATGTACCTGGGGTTTCTACGAAGCTAACACCAAATAGGTCCTCATATGCTGCGTCCACATTAGTGCATAAATTCTGGAAATGCAGTCACGGACAAAGCTAGGAAATGCGAACACAAAAATGTGAACCAGACCACGCAAAATCGAAAAATACTGCTAATATTAGACGGTCAAATAATCGCACGCTATTAGTGCGTTTGGAAAGCTACATTTCCCAACTTTGTTTTTGTGATTACGTTGCATCACTTTGACTTGCATGTAAAAAAAAATTGCGATACTTGAGTGTTGTGGTTTATATTTCTTGTTTGCATTTTTTGGTCATGACTGTATATACGTCTGGATTTCAGTGTTTACAGGCATGACCCACTGCACAACAGTTTTCCGCTACTTAGCACACGGTCGTGTACTGCTAGGATGTCAGGTGCAGTGGCTATGTTATTTACAAAGGGGGAAAACGGAAACCATTATGTATACGAGATCCACGATGCACGAGCCCCCACTACAGTGCGCCTCATTACCTGCGTTGCGTTGGCGTGTTAAGCTTGAAAAAAAAAAAAACTGCACTCTTTCCTGTCTCTCTTGTTTTTTTTTTCTTCAAGTTTGTGCAGCAATTCAATTTTTCAAGTATGAACCAACTAGTCTGCAAAAAAGTATTGCGTGTTAAGCCCTACAATCAAATAATCAATAAACTGCATAGGGAGCGAATGTCAGTTGAGCCCTCCACAACGGCGCACACGTGTAGCTCTGGCATATGAAGCTCCAATTTGAATTAGAGCCATTTATTGTGGGGAGAAATTTTGAGCACAATTTAATTATGGTATTTTAAGACCTTCCCCTATCCCTTGTGGAAAGGGCGGGGGAAGGACAAGTGTCTTCCTCACGTCAATAACTAAGCCGGTATCTGCTGCATGTGTTACATTTGTAAAATTAACAAGCTAGACATGAACTGGCATTGCTTGAATATGTTCATGAATACATACATTTCTGCTTGCAGCACTGCCTAAGGAACGAAAGCCACCAAAAGAAAGAACTGTGCCTGCACCCTCCAGCAACGAGACCAACAAATCTCCTCCTGGTCTGCGTCAATATCCAGCTGCAGTTAAAACTACCCTAGAGACCCCACAAAACCACGCCGTTCCTGAATCTACACGGCAAGGAACATCGTGTTATGGGCACGACACCATGGAAGTTGACGACGCCGTTGTTGAACTGTCAGCGAACACTAGTGATGCAGATTCAAGAGAAGTTAATGCAGCGGCTGGTGAGACATCAAATTCTACTGCAGAATCAGCAGAACTGAAGAAGAAGCTTGCTGACCTTACAAGAAAGTACTCTGAACTTCAGCAACATCATGACACAGCCAAGAACACCATTAGTGGTCTCAAGAGAAAAGTGCAAAAACTCGAGACTGAGGCAACAAATATTTCGCAAAATATGAAATTTCTCAACGACGATCAAGTACGCGCTCTCTCAAGGAGCAGCAGCTTGGTGAACTCTTGGTCTCCGCACACTGTCAAGCAAGGCCTTCAAATTAAGTTTGCTTGTGGAACAACCAGATATGAAACTTTGAGAAAAATGGGATATCCTCTCCCATCCAAAAGAACGCTCGCACGGAGGATTCAAAATTTGAAGTTTCTCCCAGGCGTTCTTCACGAAGTGATAGACGTTATGAAATGCAAAGCCGAGACCATGGAGGATGTAGAAAAGGACTGCGTCCTTTTTTTGGATGAAATGGAGATAGTGCCGGGGTTTGAGCTAGATCGGGCTGAAGACGCACTTCTCGGAGGAATAACTCTTCCTCCAAAGCCTGAAGAGCCTGCGGTTCATGCTCTGGTATTTATGTTGGGCGGACTTAACCAGCGATGGAAGCAGGTGATTGCATATGAATTTACCGGAAGAAACATCGATGGCGGCTTGCTGAAAAACTATGTGTTGGAACTAGTACAGCTGTGCAGTCAAATATATCTGAGAGTTCACGCAATCACATGTGACATGGGCTCGGCAAACCGCGCAATGTGGAGGGAATTCGCCTTTTCCAGTCACAGAGATTCTTCCACGGTGTGCTCCATACCTCATCCGTGCATGGACGGGAAGGAACTTTTTTTCATTGCTGATCCGGCTCACGTCTTGAAGAACCTCAGAGGCCAGCTCTTGAGCTCAGAAGTTTTCACGTTGAGTGAGGCCACAGTTGCCAAACATGGCCTGCCTTCTTCACAAGTCAACTTGGAATATGTTCAGGCTGTGCTCGAAGAAGATTCTAAAAGAGAACTGAAGGTAGCCCCAAACTTATCCGAAATGCACACCAGCGCAGGCCACTTCACCAAAATGAAGGTTGGTGTCGCTGTACAACTTTTTCGGGAAGCTCCCCCAGCTATCAGATTCCTTATAAAGGAAAGAGTTCTTAAACAGGAAGCAGAAACAACAGCTTGGTTCATGGAGCTGATTTCAAAATGGTATGCACTGATGTCTTCGCGGCATCCAACACTGGCCCTGAGTCGGAGAAGTAGGGCTAAGTACTCCGAAGCCCTAGATACATTACACACAGCAATAGAAACCATCAGAACTATGAAAATGGGTGCCACATCCCATTGGAAACCGTCGCAAGCAGGTGTACTCATATCAACTACAGTTGTACTTCGCCTCCAAGACGTTCTTTTAGGAGACGAAGGCTATGAGTTTTTTCTTACGAGCAGGCTCCTGCAGGACTGCTTAGAGAACCTCTTTTCTGTGGTGCGGCTTATGAAGCCGGTTCCCAATGCCTACGATCTCAAGTGCGCTCTGAGACTGGTGAGCGTAAGCCAATTTTTGCATACACCGAGGACGACCAGCTACGAGCTTGATGACAGGGAGTACCTGGTGGACCTGCTATCCCAGGGGAAGGAAGCCTGCGTCGAGAAGGAAGCTCAAGAAATCGATGATTCAGAGATTTTGTTCATCGAAGGATTGTCGTCCACAGAATGCAGTATTCTCTTTTACCTAGGAGGATTTATTTTGAAGGGAATTTTGACATCTGTGAAGTGCGCAAAATGCAAAGATGCTCTCCTTGGAACTGCCAACGACGAGCATGCTTCGCTGACAGCACTGAAAGAGTACGTTTCAGATGGAGGCAACCTCATCTACCCCAGCAAGGGAGTTATGAAAGCCTTGATAGACTATGAGGAGCATTTTGCTGCCATAAACTCTTGGTGCACGGACAAAGTAGTCACGATGAAGTCGCCGCTTCGTTCACTCACCGCATACCTAAACAAGGTGCACCGCCGCAGCTTGTGTGTATGCGCGGAGCACGAGGACAGTATATACCGACTGCTCACAGAGAGGTACGCAAGAATAAGGCTGCGCATTCACCTTCGGCAGGTTCCAGCCGGGAGTTGCAATGGACATGCAAGCAAAACATGTGCCGGCGTCAACCTCTCATGAGAAATGGACACGCCAAGATAAGCTGTATGCTTAAAAGGTTTCGGCTCACGTGGGCACGCTTTTGACTCTTGCATTTTTTATTTTTAAACATTTCATTTGGTACTGCATTTGGTTTGTCTTGTATCTGACTTTGATTTTCACTAGTGGGACAACGCAGCATTAAGGCGCACAAATAAATGGCCTGTTCACTGAAATCGTGGGTGTCGTTTCATAAAGGTACACTGGTAAAGCATGTTACTCTCGGGTATGCTGCCTGCACAGTGCATGAAATGGTGAGGCAGGGGAAGGTGGTACCGAATGTCAGATAATGTGTGTGTGTGCGTGTGCGTGTGTGTGTTATATATACACACACACGCAAGTATATAAAGTACAGCGATTCCTGCCTTTGCTATTCGGCTGATTCACAAAGACCCAAATATTGCATTCCTTTCAGCAAGCGTAGTAATAAAAGTTCATGCGCCCCTCCGTCTTAACGACGACAACGGTTTAACGCGAATCTTTCTGGTGTGGGAGTTCGTGGCTCATTTCATTCAGTCTATGTCAGCCCCTGGCGCATTGTACAAGCACAGGCCACCAGTTTGTATGACGTGCGTTGTTCCATTTAACAATTAGGCAACAACAGCACTAAGAGGTGTCCAAGTTGCACCAAAAAAAAAAAGCTCACCAACGAGTACTTCTTTCCTACCATACGCGAGCACCGCAAGCGGTAATGCGCTTCGCATGCTGCCCCACTACGGCAGGAGCCGTAATGGCGGCCGTCGTAGCAGACGACGCGGCTGTCCTCACCCTCAGCGGAGCGCGCGGGCATCAAGGCACCCTACGCAAAAGTCGACCGCAGCGCCCTCACACCCCCTAGGAGTAAGACGCGCCCGGCTTCGGCGGCGGAGTTTCGAAACTGAAATATATCTATAAACGTTGGCTTGCTGCTCATCAGACTTCCCTATTCTAGCCACTGTACTGCACTCATCATTCCCATGGTTGCTTAACGATTGCAGCGTTAAAGTGACCTCTAGATCTAGTTAATTTTGGGAAATAATAGCCACAGTCACTGCCTCTGGTCAACCCATCATTCCCATGCTCACTGAAGCGCCGTGTGTTGCAGCTCCCTTAGACACTAGCGTCAGAGTTTCCTCTAGTGTATATTAGAAAATTCTATGCCATAGTTTTCACACACACACACACACACACACACACACACACACACACACACACACACACACACACACACACACACACACACACACACACACACACAAAAAAAAAACATTTTTATGACGTGATTTTGGTTCAGCAGCATCTGGCCCCTTCAGCCAACGAATGCATAGCCTTTAAGATCTGCACAAGAAACTTAGAGGGCACCACCCGTTTTATATATAAAAAAAAAGTGTGAGAGGTCACGTGGTTTACGTGTTGTGAAGGCTCAGCGTGCCGGTACCGTTTCGTAGGGGTTCTGTGGCGCAGTTCACATTACATTTACTCGCTTGTGAGATGGTCGTCAATTGGAGTTGCCATCTTCACCACTCGGTAAGTGATTCTTAGGTCACCACTGACATACTACATGACATCCCCACGAAGGGGATGTCATGTAGTATGTCATGACACTACATGAAACAGCACTCCGTGCACATGCCTGCGGCATATTTATTTATTTATTTATTTATTTATTTATTTATTTATTTATTTATTTATTTATTTATTCAAAATACCTTACAGGCCCACTGAAGGGTATTGAGTAAGGGGGGCGTCAGTATACAAACGAAATAACAATAAAGGAGAAAAGCAGACGACAAAATATATACATATATAAAAGATTACAAAAAATCAAGGTGCAACAGCGTTATACAATACTAGAGTGCAACGAAATCAGGTTGTCACGAAAAATTTCACGGTTACAAATGGATACAACATGATCCGGAAGATCGTTCCAATATGCAATGGCTCGAGGTAGTGATGATAAGTTAAATGCTTGCGTGTGACCATGAATGCGCATAAAACTACGGGCATTGTGAATGCGTTGGGAAGTGCGCGCAGGAGAATAAAGTGGCAAACAGTGAATTTCGTTACTATAAATGTACCTATGAAACAGACATAAAAGAGCAATGTTGCGGCGTATTTCTAGTGACTGAAATGCAAGGTCTTGTTTTATTAGAGTAATACTTGAATGATAGTCGTAGTTTCCGGAGATGAATCTCGCTGCCCTATTCTGGACGGCTTCCCACATACGTACCAAGTAATCTTGATGTGGTGACCATGTGGATGATGCATACTCTAGCTGTGGGCGAACATAAGTAATATATGATAATGCGCATCCCCTAAAGCTTAGGATTTGAGAAGCAACAGTGTAGGACAGGTCGCCTCTCTTGGCGCAATGCCGTATAGTAGGGGATTTAAGTGTTTGCTTGGCTAACGCTTAAATGACGCAGCTACTAAGAAACCAGCAAATAGTGTAGCACTATTCTGGAAAGTGCATCTATTGGGGCATGTCAAGACAGAAGACGTCATATGATGACGTTTCACGTAATTTCACGTAATGATGATTTCTTGCATCGCTCGTGTTCGGGCTGCCCACTCGACAAGACGCCGGACACTGCCGGCGATCAGTTTTCGCTTTTGATGAGCCATTTAACGCTATCGCCTTAATGCACTGTATGGCTGTAGCTCCGTGAAATTGCAGCTTTCGCTGGTGTTCGGGGAGAGCGTGCTTGCAGGAACAAGGCAGAACAATTGTTCTCCTTATAAATCTTCGTACTACACTATTCTATGTTACCTTCATTTACAATCTGGGTATTTTATAGATTGTAAGTAGTGGTGGCTGAAGACTATCCATCACGTTTGGCAACAAGGTAATTGGTATTACTAAACGGGAGTGCGCTGCCTCCGAACAGTAAGCAAGTGAGTATATTAGTAACAACGCTGCCTCGCAATCACTGCCGTGTGCAACGCAAACATTAAGCCTCGAAGCTGAATGGCAGCCCATGGGCACCATACAGGCATTCAGCTCTAACAATACTTTTTTGCAGACTAGTTGGTTCATACTTGAAAAATTGAATTGCTGCACAAACTTGAAGAAAAACAAGGGATACAGGAAAGAGCGCTCTTTCCTGTCTCCCTTGTTTTTCTTCAAGTTTGTGCAGCAATTCAATTTTTCAATTCAGCTCTAGTCTGCTTGCTACATAATTAAGAGGCCAGAGGGAAGAAGAAAGAAACAGAGCTGAGCGGCCGGATATTAAGGCTTGAACAATCCATCCACAAATTCGCAGGCAAGCTCAAGCAACTCACCACAGGCTGCATTTTTCATGCCTGTCACCTTGGCTCAAGTTGAGAGCCGGCATTAGACTTCAGACTTTCACAGCGTCTGTTCGAAACACGGGCAATGGTCGCAGAAATGTCGCCGCATATGGAGCTGTTCTTGTTTATTTCACGATGATTTCATTGTTTAAGCTATTAACTGGTGAAATCAACTGCTATATACAGTTCCTGATTTTCTGACACTTGGTTTTTCTCGGTAGCAGCAAATGTAATGCTTTGCAAAGGGAATGGATGATGACCTATTTCTCTGGGAGCTGTCTAGTGGGATTTGGTGCTATTTAGTGCATGAACTCCAGGCTTGCGCATGATGTGCTACGCCACTATAGAGAGTAGCAAGCGTCGAAGAACATTGGACACTCATGCTTTTATAATTAGGTCCTGGCAAAGGCTTCTCTCAAAAATTTACTTTCAGTTAGTAAAAAATCAACTCTCAGTTAAGCGAACGCCATGTTGCGAAACGATGTTCTGCGGATTACTTGGCATCAGCTATCTCGCATCGCCCTAGCAAACGACGCGTGAGCGCCTCGATCGAGTAGTCGCGAACTACACATGCCTTTGAAATGAGCTAGGTGTCCAGAACAAGAAGGGCTTCTTGATTCTCATTTCCAAGTTTCCATTACATCTTAAACAATGCGAATACAGCCGAAAACCGAGCCGTATAGCAACTTCGAATGCAGCCGCAGCATTTGTTTGCATGCGAGACGACGTGGCGGTATCTCTACTCTAGTTGCGGCACCTGGCGGTGAAACGCCACACTAGCACAGACAGCCGCTTCCTATTGAAATCCGCTCCTTCACCCAGGCACTGGAAAAATAGAGAAGGCGCTGCCCAAGCTAAAGAAGTAGCTCTGTTTTACAATTACCGAGCTCCCCAAAGTAACGTGTTATACCCCTGTCACACTGGAAGTGTTTCTCATTATATTGAAATGTCATTTAGTGCAATGAATGCCATTCGATATGTGGTAGTGCCACACAGGAAAAAGAAATGTCATTCATTCATGATATCAATGTTGATAATTTAGAAAAGAATGGCCTGTGTGGAAACTACGCATAGAAATGTTATGTCGCAGAATATGGTGCCACTATTAGCCAAGATAGTCTGCCTAGCCTGTAGTCACAGATGATAGAATGAATACATGGAACACAGCCGACGTGGCAGAGCTGCGGAACGACGATACTAAATTGCAGCAAGTAATGCATTTAGTTGCTTTGTTCTTGGTGGTGTAACAAATGTGCATAAACCAGAATAATAGACTTGATGATACAATGAAAAGAGAAATAAAATAGCCCCCTTGATGCCATTGCTGCAAATATGCGCATACACGTGCACAATGGCATCTCTATGGCCTATAGCGCCGGCGGCCAGACGCCACTGAGGTTAGGATAAAATATTCTGCGAGTCATTCATACACGTGTTCTTGTTAAAGGGACAGACAAGTGCCCAGAACATGAAAGGAGATGACTGCAGGGATGGAAAGATTGTCCCTCATAGTGACTCAAACCAACCCTGCTTTTCTCGTGAAAAGTGGAGTTAGATTTTTATTTCTTCGTGGAAAATCGGGATAATAGCCTGTGGTGCCACTTGGTCTGAGAACTTATATCTGAGCTGCCCTGTCACGTGACCGTAAACTAGTGTATGTGGCCAAGAGTTTTCCCGTTAGTATTGAAATAGTGTTTGCTTATTTATAGTAAAAGGTATTACTTGATAAAAATGCACTTCTAAGCCTACGTTAGTAGTGCGCAATAAAGTGGCGCTGCCATTTGCATGATGCAATGTTATCCCATGCTCCTCAGCGCGTCGTGAGCAACTTTTCTACGTGCTCACAAAATCGTGAACACAGTTTCCGGTTCGCTAAGATTTTGAGGGATTTTTTTACCTAAACTTTGTCTCAGAAATGACGCGCAGTGACGTGTTTGGTGACTTGACTTGGTTCGAGTTTCAAGAGAGTAACGATGACAGGACAAGTTTTCTATGACACAGGCACCTTGGTTGCAGGCAACCTTGTTGCAGGCATATGCAATGCGGTAGAAATACAGGGAAGCTGTGTAACGCCACATCGTCTGATTGTAACATCGTGTCATAGCGGTAAAGCTCAGAATAAACGTGGTTAAGCATAGTTAGAACTCCTGTGAAAGCAGAACAATGACAGCATGAACAATTCGCCAGAAAAGCTACCGACATTGCTATCAATTCTCAGGTTTGCTGGACTAAAAAGGCTTGTCAGTGTTCAGAGCTTTTCAAATTGAAAAAATACGGCTTATACAATAACTACCTGGTTTTGGGAGTAACCACGGCAAGCGTGAACACTGCGAAAGGTAAGCTTTCAGTTGAATCGGAAAAGACTGGGCTGAACAAATTCGGTTGTCGGTCCATTTAAATTGGGAAATGCCTATAAAAAGCAACATTGTTAGTGTTTTTTTTTTTGTGAATGCGAGTCACATTGAGACTGCTGAATGCTACCTTTTAGGTAGTCTGTGTCATAGAGGGCATACGTTTGTGACTGTGATGGTGAATGTGTTTCTCGAACTCATTCGATTGCTTAAAGGGACACTAAAGGCAAATAATTTACGTCAAAGTGAAAGCTCAATGTATGATAGCATCAAAAAAACAATATTAACCACATTGCCCTCCTTACCAAGAAATTAAAGTAAATGCACAAGAACACAAGCGCTGCAGTAGAACATTTTCGAAATGATCCGAATGACATCAAACCAACCACCTACAATTAATCACTAGTATTTGGTCTAACTGCACTAAATAAAGAACGTTCCGTGCATAAAGAGACGCAATAAAATGCTGCTTGTTAGTTTCTGTTTGATTCAAGGAAAAAAGAACCGCCGGACGTTACTTTGGGAAATGGCACGAGTGGTTCAAAAATTAAATTTTTGGGAGACAGAGAGAGAATAAAACATTTATTTGAGATCGAGGAAAGTGTGTCGATGAGTGGGCTTATTAGTCCGGGATCCCATTGGCACGGGCTGCTGTCGTCGCTCGTCTCACGAGAGCCTCTTGTGTGTTCGGATCCGAGCTGGACAGAGCTCCCTCCCACCCTACAATGTTGTGCTGTGCTCTGGATTGTAGTGGTGGATTGTGTGGGCATTCTCATTCCATGTGGTACAGGGTAGCTGTCTTAGTCACGCAGAACATGCACTGTGGTGGGTATGTGTCGGGATCTATCTTGGACAATATGTATGGATTGGGGTAAGACAAGGTCT